ATGGCATATAAACAAAAACACAGAGTATGATGAGTACTATTTTGAAAAGTAGGGGGAAGTATGATGATAGCACAAAGGAGTAAGTAAACCATTTTGCCTCAGCAAAGGCTTCAAACAGAATGTCAGGCTTGAGCTAGGTTTTATGAACGTGCTGACAGAAAATGCGGTATTCATACACATACAATAGAATGTTATTCAGCCTTAAAAAGGAGGAAATTCTGACACATGATACAACATCGAAGAACTTGAAAACATTATGCCAGTTACTTTAAGCCAGTAACAAAGGGACAAGTACATATGATTCCACATGAGATACCAAGAGTAGGACACTCAAATTCACAGAGACACAAAACATAGTGATGGTTTCCAGGGACTGGGGAGAGAGAAGAATGGGGAGTTAGTGTTTAATGGGTACAGAGTTTCACTTTTGCAGGATTAAAAGAGTTCTGGAGATGGATGGTGGTGATAGTTGCACAACAATGTGAAGTACTTAATGTCACTTATACACTTAAAAATGGTTAAAATGGTAAATTTTATGTTAAGTGTATTTTACTACAATTTAAAAATATCAGTTGGCATTCACCAAAAATACAAAGGTGAACAAATATTAAATGAGAACAAGTGCAAAGGTACAGAAATTTGAAACTGTACCACAAAAGAGTTCTTAGAAAAGCCATTTCCAAGGCAAAGCAAAGGAACAAGAAATGATCAGGTTGGAAAGAGATGCTAAGGGCCAGCTCAAAAAGTGCTTTGCATATAATGTAAAGATCAAAAAGTGCCTTGTACATAATTCAAAGGAGTATAAACTTTATCTGACACTGTGGAAACAATCTGATCAGAATATCAGAGCTTATAAATCTCTCTTCTGATCCTGGCATCTCTCAGGGTTCTGTCCCTGCCCTTCTCAAAACATACAGTCCAACTGTGTGATCTCATCCATTAGATTCAAGGGCAATCTATACATGAATATCAATCCAATAGATATCTCTATCTCCTGGGGCCCTGTATATCAAATTTTCCATTTAACATTGTCTCAAAGCATCCCAAAATTAGCATGTTTAAAACTGAATCATCTTTCTTTTCCTTTCTACCTTCCCTCCTTACTTTTCTAAGCCTCTTTCTCGCCTATAATCTTCATCTCAATGAACGGCACATCATCAGACAAGTCATCCAAGCCAGAAGCCTAGGAATCATAGGAGGCACTGGATTCCCGGTACCTATTGCAGTGGTAGTGGACTTGGAATAAATGGTTGTTGAATGATTTGCAGAACAACAGAAAGGAAGCTGCAAAATGGGATGGAGGTTAGTGCTGGAAGCAGGAAGGAAGCCAATAAAATAGCCCAGGAGAAAGACAAGAAGTTTTCAACCTTGGAGAGGAGATGGAGAAATAAAGTGATAGTCAGAAATTTGACAGGATTCATTCAATTCATAATAATGTTAAGTATAACTCCCAGCTTTCTATCCTGCACTTTCATGTGAATCGTTTTGCCATTAACTTTAGCAAAGCAAACTGGATAATTACTATTGTACTGTACTTATCTATGAGCATATATATTTCCCTTTTAACAATTAAGCTACTTAAGGTGGGGAAATTTTATTCATTTTTGTATCTCTAGCTACTAGCAAGTTATAGGCTATTTTAAAATGTCTAGTAGGCCAGGCACAGTGGCTTACACCTGTAATCCCAGCACTTTGGGAGGCTGAGGCAAGTGAATCACTTGAGGTCAGGAGTTCAAAACCAGCCTGGTCAACATAGCGAAACTCCATCTCTACTAAAAATACAAAAATTAGCCGGGAGTGCTGGCAGGCCCCTGTAATCCCAGCTACTCGGGAAGCTGAGACAGGAGAATCGCTTGAACCTGGGAGGCGGAGGTTGCGGTGAACTGAGAGCACGCCACTGCACTCCAGCCTAGATGACAGAGACTCTGTCTCAAATAAAAAAAAAAAAAAAAGTCCAGTAAATACATATGAGTGATTTGCTTTAACTTTTGTTTGCTGGAGGTATTTGATATTGTTAGCAGACAAAAAAATAAATAAATAAACCCAGCAAGAGGAACATGATCGAAGGAGAAAATAATTCAACTTTGGCAATATTGAATTTAAGTGTTATCAGAACACTATCCATTCATTCATTTATTTACTTGCTCACTCACTCACTCACTACATGTTTATTGGGTATCTATTGGACCAGGGCATCCAGGGTACATGGTCAGCAGAGAGCTGTAAATGCTGGACTAGAGCTCCAGAGTGGGTCAAAGCTAGTAAGAAGCACCCCAATCCATATTGCTACATATATGTCAGACTCAAAAATGATGCCACAAAAGGGAGTAAGACTGACACAGGAGAAAAGAGGGCTGAAGCAAGGACAGACACTGTGAGAAAATGACAGGCAGGGAGCAGAAAGTAAGAGAAATCATAAGAGAAGACTAAGGAATGCTCAAAGTTAGGTAAACTCAGAGACTAGTGTCAGAGAAGGCCACTGAGACTAAATGTTCAATGATAGGGTAGCATTAAATGCTGCAAGCCTGTAATCCATGAATTAGTTGTAAACAAGGGACAGACAAGAAATTTAACTTAATTTAATTTAATCTAATTAACAAGTGTTTCAGCCCCAAGGACTCATGGGATGGTGAATGTCTTTTCTAGGTTCTATTTTAATGATTGTAATAGAATATTCATGGAGGAAAAAGATTCTTCTTATTAACCCAGTAACACCATCACAGAATGACTGGATTTTCCTTTTATTATAGAAAAAAGAACTTTTACTTGTTCTACATATAACCCTTTTCGTATTTTCTTGTCTCTGAAGACCCCAAGCCTAATGTTTAAAAAAATTATTTGAAGCTGAACTCAAATTGCATTCTGTCACCCAAGTTAAAAAAAGGATCAGTTCTGATCCCCTCCATGTGAGGTTCTGTTTTCACAGCAGTTGTGATGGAATATCCCGAACAATTTATATTCTTCTGAATTTCCTTGAGACTAAAAGCATATGTTCACAAAATGAACCTGAAGGTCATACCATAAGCAAAGCGCTGTACTAAGCACTGTGAAGCAAGTAAAAGTATGTACTCTTCAACTTCAAGGAGCTTAAATCTAATTGAAAAGAAAAACCAGCTGCGCCCAGGTAAAACCCCACAGAGGATAAGAGAGTAAACAAAGTGATAAGCCATATACTATGCAGACAAAAATTCCTTCTAGAGCTCCAAGAAAGGAAAGATTCATTTTGGCCAAAAGGAAGACTTCATAATAAAAGATGGGATTTGAGTCACAGGCAATAAGGAAAGGCATTCAGACTACAGAATAGAATAAATAATCAGTGAGAATGGACAAGCTATGTGGGAAAAATAATGAGGCAATCAGCCTAACTAAAACAGTGTGGGTTGGAGAGAAACAGGAAATAAGATAGAACAGCTAAGGTTAAGTTATATTAGAAGCTTAGGCTACACAGTGGTAAATGGAACTCTATTTAGGTTCTTGAGCAGAAAGATAACATAATGAAAGGAAGATCATTCCCAATAGTCTGATTAAAATTAATGTAAATAGGGGACTTCTGGATTCACAGAATAATTTGTTCTATCTATCCAAAATTAAAACACTCCATATGAAAATTAATTCTATTTAATAAATAGACAAGAATTTTCCTAGTGTTCTTAGTTCCTGCTTAAGTTACTGTGACATGCCCAGTGAAACTCAAGTCTAACACATGCACCCATGGAGCTCTCCACCCAGCTGGAGGAAGAAGGCACTTCTGAAACATAAACCTCATTAGCATATGCTCTAAATGTTAAGAACTGTGCTAAATTATCTGTGGAACAACACTAAGAAAGATAAAGAAATGAATTTCTACTTTCCCTTAGTTTTAGGTCTAGAAATTTCTGACTGCTTAAACTATACATACCTCACTTTTAAAAACACCAAAAACACCCACAGATAATGTCCTGAATTGATACCATAAATGGCAAAGTCAAAAGACATGCACGCACAACAAAAAAACTAAACACAAGGCTTATTTAAATAATAGTAGTAAACTTTCATGCAAAAAAACATGTATAGGCATATTGCTTGGAAACATCTTAAATTTAAAAATTGCTTGGAAGCATACCATAACTCTGCTAGAATTCTTGAATGACAATTAGAATAAATTCAAATCATAAAATTACTGAGCTTAAATCACCTCAGAGGCCCTTTAATCCAATACTCTAAGCTCTGTTGGAACACTTCTAATGACAGGTAACTCACTATTTCATGAAGTGTTTCAGTCAAACATCTAAAAAACTCATTTTGTAATGAGGCAAAAGCTTTTCCCACATAATAGCATTTCAAATATTTGAATCCCATGATCATGTACACTGCAACCAGCCCTACATCCACACCAGCCAAGTCTTCTCTCAAATTTTACTTACCTCTCTAAATGGAAAAGTTAACTCTCACTGAACAACTGCCTCTCTTTTTTGTTTATATAGGGAGCATGATCTAATGGGAAGACCTCTGGGGAGAAAGTTAGAAAATCCATGTTTGAGATTTCTTTTTTAATTTCCTGAATGAACTCTTTGTGCTTTAGTTTCTTCTTATAAGATGAGGAATATAATCTAGATGGTCTCTTAAAGTATTTAACAATTTAATCTTGTACACTATATTAAATAATCATACCTACATTGAAATTTAACCTCATTTACTGCAGGCACAAACTGTTGCCTGGGAAGCAGGAAAAGCAGTATACAGGAGTAGGGAGGAAAGTTTTTTTTTAACTATATGAGTTTAAAGAATAGATGGAATCAAGAAATGAAAAATACAAAATGGATGGAACCAAGAAATAAAAATTACAAAATGGATGGAATCAAGAAATGAAAAATACAGAATGGATGGAATCAAGAAATGAAAATTACAAAATATAAAAATAAAAAATACTATTCTGAAAAGCCAATTTTATGTACAAATGATTAATCTATGTCAAACGTGGAGATAAATGCCCAAAAGATAGAGAAAATATTTTACCTTACCTTATGTTTAGTAGCTTCAATGCATTTAGCAGCACTCCCCTTTTTACATCATAGTCTATTTTCTGATCAGTTCCAAAGCTTGGGGCTCGGTTAATCTGAAATTTACAAAGAAAACAATATTGGAAGGTAAATAAATATTCAATACATATTTGTTAATTTAATGTAGGATCTCTAGCCAGTAGAACAACCCTACAATAAACCTCAAAGCTTTACATGGTAGATGGCCCAGCTATTATTGCCACATCTCCATTCCGCATCACCCTAGGGCAACAAATTGCAAGGGACTGACTACTGGCACCATCTCCTTCTCACTGCTGCCTTAGTTCAGGAGCTTTACTGTCAGTATAAGCTGACCTCTCCCTCCATTCCACTCTCTCCATTACCCCATGCAATTTAGGTTTCTTAAGTTTAGGAAAGTTAAAAGTGATTTAGCCTAAGAAAAAGGAAATAGTGATATTCATGTTACCAACACAGTAATAATTATACCAACACAGTAATAATTACATACATCTATATATTTAAAATATAGAAACTATCAGTGCTCCCTTTTCACTGCTTCAGATCTTCAGGAATTCATTAAGATGAAAAATAAAAGAGCTGGAGTGTTTGTTTTTGTGTTTGTTGAGTCTTGTTACTGTTGTCATTGTTATAAAAATATAACTGGAATAGCCGACGTTTAAGAAAATTTCTTAATCAGTTAAATCAGTTGGTTAGAACGCTGCTGATTCAACACAACAGTTTAGCTTCTTGACCACCAGCTAATCCCTTAGGCTATCTCAAATATATATGTGTGTGTGTGTGTGTGTGTGTGTGTGTGTGTATACTAGTCACAGTTATACATATCTGTCACCACAAGAGACAAAACAATTGAAAGCATGCATTCTACAACTTGAACCTGAAGAAATATCACAGTTACTAGTCACAGTTATACACATCTGTCACCACAAGAGACAAAACAATTGAAAGCATGCATTCTACAACTTGAATCTGAAGAAATATCACATTATAATCAAGAAATTATCCAGGAATATAACATCTTTAATTAGAAATGTATCACAGGTTCACTGCAGAAAAATAAGTAAAAAGAAGGAAAACAAGTAACAAAAGATTACCTGTAATCCCACTACTTAACACTTAGTGTCTTGTTAACCACATGGTAGATAGTATTCCAGATATTTTCTATGTATACATATTTAAAATATTCATTTTACCTTCCAAATGCATATCTATACGAACCATACTTTATTTTACATTCCAAGCTTTTCTCTTAATAATGTATCATGAAAATCTTTCATCATGCCATCATTTTGATGGATGCATGGTACTCCTTTTATACAGATATGCCATGTTGTATTTTGATTCCTTTGTTGATTTCTGATTTAGAAGGTGACAGACACGTTCCTGTATTTGTGATATAGTCTCAAGGAGAAGGAAATAGCTTGAAAATGGCAATAACATCCATTTATTCCAGGTCAATTTGAGAAAGGGAGTTTATTAATCTATTACGAAAGCTCTAAGCATTTCCCTTTACAAGTGCAGAGAAAGGGTAAAGTAATATATCTTATAGGAAAAAAGTTTCAACCATACTGATTCAAATATCTGGAGTTTATAATACAATTAATGATGGTGTTGCCACTATATGTTACATGGTTACAAAATAAACCAGACATTAAAGAACTGATGAGTAAGTGGTACATTGGAATGTTATCTGTCTTTGTAGAATTCCTCAGAGACTCCATTCCAAATTTCAGTGAGGAATTGTGTCAGGCATATCCCTCCTCCAGGATGGTACTGAGGTCTCAGTATAAAGCCATCTCAGATCTCAATCTCTCTCTCTCTCTCCTTACCTATTTCAAATTTTTCCCTCTACTATAAGATAAATTGGTCTGTGAAGAGGTATACCCACACAAGATAAACTGTTAATAATATGTGGAAAGGCAGGAAAACTTTTTCAATTTAAGATTTCATTCAGGGTTGTTCTTTTTTTTTTTAAGTTTTATGAGAAAGGTAAAGAAAAAAAAATAGAACCACAAATGGCTGACAGAAGAAACTAAAAATTAGTGTTCCACCCAGCCAAAATTCTCCTCTATAGTGAGATGATTTATTTGGTTCTCATTTCCCACCCCAATTCTAAAACAGACAAAACATAGTAGATGTTAAAATCTCAAAATTCAACAGCTTGTAAATGCATTAAAAATGAAAATTATTATAAAATGTATTAAATTAGTAAACACTATTTTCAACGGTCTTAAAAATAGTTTTATCAAAACAAATAACAATCACTTTTTCCACAAATTAAAGTATCCATAATAGCTTCTGTGCTCCTAAGTTAGTGCTGTTCCCTCTGCACCACAGCCTTTCCCCACTCCTACTTTATCTCTCTCAGCCCCTAGCCCCTATCCCACCCTTCTGCAGCCCTACAAACTTTGCTCAGGTGTTTCTTCTGTAAAGCTTTTTTTTTTAACTCTCCAATACACACAGTTACGTAGAGATATTAATCACACTATCGTTTTTGTTATTTCCCTTTTACCTACTAGTACTCATAACTATTACCATAAAATGCACATCTGAATAATGGCTACACCAGGGCAAGTACTCTGTCTTCTTGTATCCCCACCACCTAAGACAATGACTATAACTTAGTAGGTTTCTGTTTAATTTAAGAGTACTTAAACTATTGGTGGTATATTCATACTCCACCCAATTTCCATGTTTTTCCTAAAAAATGTTTTCTACTTAATGAAAATTTGTGCAATTCTGCCACTAGCAATCAGTCCCTGAAATTACTGTTTAAAAGTTATCACATACCCAGAAGCACCTTCTACCTTATTCCACTTGATGGCGCCAAAAGGTTTTTAACAATGTATATTAGACCCACTAAAATTTCAGCAGGGAGCAAAACACAAGGCAAGACTGAAGATTCTTTTAACCGTTTTAATATAACAAATGTTCATTATCCACAGCTCTTGGTTATTGTGGAGTGTTTTAATGGTTCTGATTGATCTAGAAACAATGAAGGAGAGTAAAGAATGAAGAAACATTCATGCAAACAATGGTTATTTTGATTCTTGTAAAATCCAGAATTCAACCATTCAGTCAATTCTGATTTAGCAAGCTAATGGAAAGCTCTAGTGAAGCAAATGGTTTTTTTTCTAAAAAGGAAACTAAGAGATCTATAAAGTCATTATTTCCTAATATCCTCCTTATGCACATGCCTCACTTTTTCCCCACTCCATCAATGACAAAAGAAAAGTACAGGGGCGGAAGACAATATAGCTAAGAACAGTAAAGGACTGCTGCAGAAAAAGCAAGAAATCTAAAGCAAATGTCAGGCCTTAGCAAGATGAAGGGTCCATAGTACATAGTCAAGTGTTTTCATATCCAAGGAATGGAGGAAGCAAAAAATAAGTAAAACTCCTCACATTTATCTTATCTCTAAGACCCAGGCTGGAGCAAAGTCTGAATATCCAACAGAGAGAACTGTATTTCCTTGGAGACACAATACATGTTCTTGTTTCGCGCGTGCGTGCGCACACACACACACAATCTTTGGCTCTCAAATTAGAAAAGTATAATTTCTTGGAAATGTATTTTTAGTATCTTCATCTCACCTACCACTCATTCAATTTGCTTATGCAATCCGTGATATTACATACACAACTTCTAACTTACAAATCACTGACAAAAAGAGAGACAATTGATTTAAAATGAAAGGTAGTGGCTGATGACATCTTCTATAGCAATATGTTCCTGATTAAGTTTCCCAAACATGATATTTAAGCGGCCACGAGAAGGTGTGTAACCCCAGATCAAGGAGTTTAAAAGGAACTGCTGGATGGGATCTTCTGGACCACATGACTTCTAAGGTTTCTTCTGGGTAATATAAATGTAACTAGCAGGAAAAAATATAAAAATTGTCAACAGAGATAAATTTTACTTTCTCCCTTTTACTATTTCGTATGTGTTACATGACCTTTTATCATCAAAGAAAAATAATGATAACTCTCACTCTACCAGGGACTGGCAGCAAACCTGAAGGCATACAGTTGACAGTCTCCCTGAGGGAAGCCCCATGTATATAACATGGCCTTAAAGGAGACATTTACCACCTGGGGTATCGGATACTGAATACTGATTAATGAACCAATTGGAGCCTCTCGGAGAGTTTGAAGGTGAGACACACTGAAGGCAAGATTCTAAAGCCCAGGCACCCACAGAGAGGAGAGACGCTATCCAGACCTCATGACGTGGTAGAAGCCAGAAGGCTGAGAAAATAGTAGAGCAAGTAAGCAACAAATCAGTAAAAGCACCTTCACACTTCAATCCCAAATACCTGGCCTAGAAATTCACTTGACACTAATTTGGGAAAAGTAGTATCAAACACTTTGATTCATTCTTAGAACTATTGTAGTCCCTGAATTTTTATCCTCTTCTTCCCACTTACTCTATTCAGGCTTCATTCTAGACAGTTAATGGGACGACTGTGTTAAGTACAGATTTTTAAAGTATTTATTTTAATACATAAGGACAGTGATAACTCCTCTTTTTTTCTTAAAGAATGCCTTACCTCCAGAAGCCATGGCTTTAGTTTTCTATCCAATAAAATATCAAATCCCAGGACTTCAAAGCAGACACTTTCGCTTCCTGGAGGTTGACCAGGTCTACACATTCGATACGCATGCAGGACATGAGGTTCTGCTACAATCAGGGTTTTTACCACCAATTCCTATAAGATTGTGATAAAAGAGGTGAAAATGCCTTTGTGTCTCATTTCATATATGTAAATATAAGCAGGGCCCACAAACTGGCAGCCTAGCCAAGTTTACAAAGCTCTGTGGCATCTAGCCCCTGCCACAGATCTAACTTCATTCTTCACTCTTATCCCTGCCCACTGCGCTCCTCATGCTTGCTTTGGGTTCCTCAAGTAAGTGACACTTCTTCCTATCTTAAGTCCTTTGCATTAGCTGTTCCCTCTTGTGGAATACTCTTTCCCCTATATTTGCAACTCTGGCTCTTAAGATATTCAGAAAGGCTTTCCCAACCCCCAAGTTAAAAGTAGCCACCCTTCATTTCTTACCACATCACTACACACAGCATATGACCAGTTGATATTTTTCTTTTTACATTAGAGCAGGGACCTTGTCTGACTTATTTATAACACCATTCCCAGTGCCTACAATAGTAGCTGGCATTCAGTAGATATCCAAGTAAATCCAAGTAACTTGTTTACTTTGTAAACAAGTTATTCATACTTGTTTATATGTTAAAACAAGTAAGGCAGTTGTTAAAACAAGTTAAAAACAAGTAAGGTAGGAGCATAGGCTAGCCCCATCCAGAAGAGATGAAGGTGATAGGGAGGAAAAATTCCAAGGAGAGTAAATTATTTCACAAACACCAGTATAGAAACTCTACTTAGATAAAGGCTGAAAGGGCTGGAAGACAAAATCTATGAGAGTTGAGTTTCTTTATTTAGTGACGATTTTGTAGTGTATAAGTTTTATCTGAGAAGAGTGTTACCAATTAAAAGATTGGCTCTCAATATTTTCTGAGAGAAATCACATAATACTACTGGGATGAGTTATTAACCCTAATTTTTAAAAAGCTGTTTTACTGAAGTTTCAGAACAAGCTGTCGGAGAAAAGCTGTCTCACTTATTTTTGCTCAGAAGACATTGTCATTTTAACTCCCTCTCTACAGGTATAGGCAATAGGAAAAGACAGTTAAGAACCTGGCTCTAAAATCAGGATTCTTGTGTTTCTTCCTGGGTTTGTAACTTGCTAGCTGTGCAACCTCAGTCCTGTTGCTTAAACTTTGTGAGTCTCATTTTTCCTAAATATAATCTGCAAAAGGTTAATGTCAGAACAAAATGAGATGCCATGTAAAACTCTTAGCATAGTGCCCAGAGTACTATTATTGTTACTGTTATTCTATCATTCCTCTAGAATTCCACCTCATATGTCAGGTTAGACTCAAATACTCTACTACCTGTAATACCTATAATATTTATTATATGAGTGATAAAAGAGAAGACAGAAGTTAACCTCACTGTTACCCAGAACCACAATGCAGTTCATATTTGAGAATAACTATCAGAGGTCCCATGAGAGGCTGTTTTCAAAACATTTTGTTCAAGGTAACAAATTCATGACAGCACCATAGTATATAAAATAAATGATAAAAAGTCACTTTATATAAATCTTCGCCAATATTACTGAAACCACTTGAGAGCAGGAAAAAGTTAAAACTTTGACTGATAAGTGTCTGTATGGAACAGTATAGGCTGAGGGAGAGGGTAGGGACTGATTATTAATCAACAGACCCTGAATTACAAATATGTTTTTGCTATGTAGAAAATAACCTGCTTTTAGATTGTAAAGGCAAGTTTTCAGCAGAAGTGAAAATCAGGAGTCATATAAACAAACACAAACGAAATTCCACTACTGTTTTTGAGAATTTACAACATAATATCACTGCTTTGAAATGTGATTTGTAGATTTATACCTTAGGTATACAAAAAGCAGTAAGGATAGTTTTTTTTAATGATTATGCTCATTTTTAATCTCCATGGCTTGATTTTCTACTGATTTTTATTACTGACCAGAACAAAAGTACACGGCTCTGTTCTTCACACAGGGTATTGATGAATGCTACTTTTTATATATTGATAGTTACTTTTTGGAGAAATTGCCCCCCAAAAAGAGGTTATTAAAAATAAGTTATAAATTAAATTCAGGGAATTTGTGAACTAAGACATCAAGATAAAAATTTACTGCATAATTGCTTTCTCCACCTCCTCCTGTCATTCTCTTTTTATATTATCCCATTGATTTATCTTAAACAGTTATCTATATAAAGTATACCAATTCTTAATAAAGACAGCCAATTTTCATATAATTACATAAATACAGACAGGTGTTTGACAAGATAATTATAATAAAAGTACTTGAAAAAGGTAGGTTTATTAACTGATTGTTTATAGATGATTAATATGCATTCTTACTAACATAGCCAAGAAAGATGCAAAATTTATTCACCTACAGACAAGACCATGAAATGTGTCAGAGCTTAATAGGCCCACATTGGCTATGTTTGGGTCATATCTAAAAATTATACTTCAGGTCCTAACAGAAAGTTAATTTCCATATCCTCTCATTAGTATTAGTCTTGCTTGTATACCTTCTCTTAATTCAATTGTGAGGAAAAAACGTCACTTAAAACCAATATATGTAAAGCTAACGACCCTCACTATTCTCCCTGATTCTCTCCATACATGCCTCACCAAAGCAGCCCAACAGGTTCTACCTTTTCACAAACATGTCCCCAAAGAGCCAAATCCATATGAGAGTTACAAATGTGTACATTTGTAAAAAAAAAAAAAAAAATGCCAGAGGGTATATAAAACTTTCTTGGTCCCACTGAGCAATACACCAATTCATTGAATTACCATCAGATGGAAGATGGTATGATCTTCCATCAATGAACTATGGTCCAAAATCACTGAGTTTCACCATTGTGATGCTTCTGACTCACTATGATAGTAAACTGTCATTAGAATGGTTTTTGGAATTTCCATGAAATTGGCCTTGAGAACATAATTACATAAACAAATAAATGCAGCATTGTTATGATCCAATTTCTCATTTACATGCATTTCATCTCTCAGGAAGTTATAAATGAAAGTTAACAAATTGGTGGGTATCTGACCAAATCCAGATGACATTTTTGTTTGTTAAGTCTCAACATCTTTAAAATTTTTGAGTCCACTGCCAACATTTAAAATCATTTATGCCATTTCTGCCATTTACACATAATTCATCAACAAATTAGAAGAATAAGCCTCACTTGGCCTAAAATATCACTGGCACCAATAAGCTGGTGCTGAGTGGTGGCTACCTCCTTCAGACCTCTCCTGACTTTCAAATTATCACAGTTCCCAGAACACCCTAGTTTCTTCTATCTAGAGACCACTTCACTCCTTCTTACTTGTCTGACACCTAAGGACCTTTGGATTTATGGCCGGTGATATAGAAAGTAAGGTAAAAATGTCAACAAACAAAATAAACAAGGGTGAATAGAGTCATATGCCACATAACAGCATTTTGGTGTACAATGCATAGCATATTCAACAGGGATCACATAAGATTATAATACTGTATTTTAGGGTACCTTTTCCATGTTTAGGTATACAATCTTTACCATTGTATTACAATTGCTTACACTATTCAGTACAGTAAATTTTTTTTTTTTTGGCGACCAAATCTTGCTCTGTTGCCCAGGCTGGAGTGCAGTGGCACAATCTTGGCTCACTGCAATCTACACCTCCCGCGTTCAACCAATTCTCCTGCCTCAGCCTCCTGAGTAGCTGGGATTACAGGAGCGCACCACCACATCCAGCTAATTTTTTATATTTTTGGTAGAGACAGGGTTTCACCATGTTTGCCAGGCTGGTCTCGAACTCCTGACCTGATCCGCCTGCCTAGCCTCCCAAAGTGGTGGGATTACAGGTGTGAGCCACTGTGCCCAGCCTAGTACAGTAATGTTTTGTACAGGTTTGTAGACTAGGAGCCACAGACTATACCATATACAGGCTATATGATAGCCTAGGTATGTAGTAGGCTATTCCTATTCTAGGTTTGTGTAAGTACAAACTGTGATATCTGCACAATGATAAAATCACCCAAGGATGCATTTCTCAGAATGCATCCCTGTTGTTAAGCAGTAGGCTGTGTAACGGCCTGTTTTTTTCTCTCTGGTCCTCTCAATTATAGGGAACCAAGTTCAATCAACTCTTAATGAACTTTCATGGCCTGACGGTGCTTCAAATTATTGCTGAGGACAGACCGTTATAATTGTGGAATGGCATAATCTTACTGAAATATCACTCCAAAACTTAGCAACATCATGTTGATTTGCTTGAAGGAATTCTGTAAACCATTTGATGGAACGTTTGCTGCCTTTGTTCTCAGTTTCATCCCGTTCGAAACGTTCATTATGCTTGTTCACCGAGTAGTTTGTCAGATGCATGTATAACTGGGTCTGTAACAAGTAAGAACCAAAGTGGTTACCACCTATGACATCCTAGAACTGCAAAGTTTCAGAGGAAAAATAGACACTCAAAGACTAAAAAAAGTTTTAAAGTTTAAACTATATAGATGAACAATTTCATGATTATTTAGATAATATCCCAATTAAATGGAATGGCACATTTCCCTTAAAAGGGTTGAGAATGTAATCATCTACAGAGTTACTTTACATATTATTCAAAATATGTCTACCATTAAAAAGTATCAAATTAATAAGAATATAGAGTAATTAAAATGTGAAACTACATATTGCTAAGCAAGAAAAATGATCTGAGTTTGTTTCTTGTTAATTTGTTTTTAATGTTTTTGGCTCTGAGAGTTTTCACTCAAATCTGTTTTGGGAAAGGAATTTTCTGAGAGAGTATTCTATGTCTTTTTCAAGAAAAATAAAAACTGAAAACTCAAGTAAGTCACATAGAGAGGCAGGACTACCAAACACAACCTCTGCACACCCATACTGACTAGGAGGCCCCTTTAGCTTGGTACCAGAGTGCACTTACAGTCAGCAGACAGAAGGTACCACATAATACTGTGCGGATGTCCAGTACAGTATCGTGCTCCATACTGGAGCTCTACGTTTTTGTCTCGTTATAATCTTACATTTGTTGATACTATTTTCCTTAAATTGAAAAAGAATTCAAAATTTAAAACTCCTCATAATTGTCAATTAATATATATCTAATGCCTTTTTATCAAGCTAACACAAGCATTCATAAAAATCTATCTTTAATTCCTACCCTCCTCATGATCCTAAAGATTACTTTAGAGAGCAAAGTTACATCACAATTAAAATATACTTCATTCACATGATTATTATTTTGATTTGTTAATAGCCAACTATATTCATGTCATATTTTATTTTTGCTGCAGTTCCTTAGGCCTATGGCATTGAAATCTTTGAAGCAAGAAGGCAGAAATGATAATTTGAGTACATATTGTTTATTAATCCATGTGCCTACCACTAATTAAGAATTTTTTTTTCATTCATTAAACAATATTTAAGGAACACCTACTATGTGCAGCAGTCTCTGCTGGGCACTGTGGATACAAAGGCAACAAAATAAACAACAGTCTCTATCCTTAGAAACAGGAAAAACTTTAAATTAAATGATACTTAAAAGAAAAAGCATAAATCTTATGCTTACCTAATTTTAAGTGCTTAATTTAAAGAAAAAGGAAATTAATCAAGCTGGGGCACTTCCTAGTTTCCAAAATACAAATTTTCTTAACTTCTAAAAAGAGATTTGGAAAATAATCTTGTAAGGAAGTCTGTATTTGGCAAGAATTTCTTAAAATTAATAATACTAACACCACCACTAGCTATTCTAGTGAAAAATTAAGTAAGGAAACTTTGTATTTTTCTTAAACAGTATCTTTGTAAATGGACTGGAAATTCCACAACTTCACATTTACCTTGACAAAAATAGGCATCTAAGCAGTTCACTGCCAGTTAGTCATTTGCAAGAAATAGAACCAAAAGCAGCTATGAACCATACAGCAATCTGCAAGGATTGGCCAACCACTACATTGGTAGCAAAAACGGAATGTTTATTATATTTCAATGTTTGAAATTCTGTCTTATAATCTGCTTATATGTAGTTGATGAACATTTAATTCTTATAGAAATAATACATATATAAAATACATGCTCACTATTTTAAAAATTTGAAATAGGAAGAAGGAAAAAATACGTAGTAAGCTGCCATCCAGAAACAACCAATGAGAGCACTTTGGTTTAATTTTTCTAGTGTTTTTTTCTAAACTTACCTTTTACATAACCATGGTCTCACTTTACAGACACTTTTGTATTTCACTTTTTAATATTTTCATATCTCAACCTAGATATTCAATCACGAAATTCTAGAGATCTATGAGTGATATAGACATTTATGTAAGAGAACATCTTTTTTCTATATATGTAAAAACCAAAGCCAGGAGCTTATGTGATTCAAAAGCACATACAAAATGAGACCTACAGGCCACACTTCCTTTCTCTCAATCTCTCATTGAGATTAATCCCACTGAATTTAAGCTAATGATATACACATAGGACATTAGAATAAAGCACTTTATCACCCAAAAGAGCTTCCAAGTCTTATTCTTTCCAATACTATCAAAAGATCACTCCCACCTTACACATATATAATCCACTCTTACCCATGCCAATTATTTAAAGTATAATCTATGTATTGACAAGTCTCAAATTATGTTTGTAGTTCAGAAATGTCTTCTGAAATTCAAACTTATACTGTATAATCAAATGCCTACAGAACAGATCCACTTGGAGGTCACACAGGCCTTTAAACTGAATACATCCACTTTCCACAAAACCTTTAATAGTTCCTGTATTCCCTTATCACCATTCCCTAATACACCATCCATCAGATGTCAGAAACCTGAGTTTTATTCTTGATTTCACTTTCCCTTTCTCTCATTCCACAAATCCAACCTGTGACCATATTATATCAACGTTATCCATGTTATCTCAAATATATCTCAAATCCATGCTCTTATTCTTGGTCAGGACCCACTGCTACTATTTCAATTTAAGTCCTTTTTCCTTCCATATGTGGTCAGACTAGAATACTTTACATGTTATTCAAAATATATGTAACTTCTTGTCTCTCTGACTCTAATCATTTCCATCCATCTCCACCTCCATCTCACATTCCAGACCAGGGGACATTCCTTCCTTTGTTTGTGTAAAACCCTTCAATCCTTCCTTTTATCTTAAGTTAAATTCTAAAATCCTAGACAAGGCCTACAAAGCCTTAAGGGATCTGGCTTCTAGGACTCACCATCCTCATCTCTGAACAGTCACTCCTTCCTATTCTATACTTCAGCCAAACTGACCTTGTCTGCTTTCTCCAGACATGCCACACTCTGTCTTACCTCTGAGCCATTCTTTTGCCTGGAGCTCCATCCAACCCTACCCTGCACCCGAATCTGGCTAACTCCTCATTATTCAGATTTCAATTTATAAAACACTCCCTCTCTAACCTTTATCTCCAACTGGGTTATGTGTCCCTGCTATGCACTGCCATAGCACCTTCAGTTTCTTAGACCATCACACTTACCATCAGATATTATAATTGCTTATTTTATTTTCTGCCTCCCCACTAAACTGTTGCTTCTGTGAGGTCAAGCACTGTATCTGTCTGGTCACTGTTTTTTTAAAAACTAGCACAATGCCCAAAATGTGGTAGAGTTCAAACATCACTTGGTGATTGGCTATATCTAGACCTTATAACCTTTAATAATGTTTCTTTCTTTTAACTTCTTTTCCTATGAAAGGTTTGACAGTTTCCTTATTCTTCCTTTGCCGGGTTTACAACATTTTTCATTTTACTGAACATAGTACCATTTATGATCAGCCATTATTTAATGTTGAAAAAATGACCACATTTAATGGAGTTAATTGTGTGCATAATATTAGGGGAGAACAGTAACCAGGTCTTTGACAAGTTGGAAAACAATTAATTGTAATTTTAACTATAGTTAGTTACATCCAAAAATAGGTTTAGAGGTTAACTAAAGTTTAAGTATGCATAATAAATTATAATTTAACTTTTATAAGCTACAAATTACAGTTATTATTTTCATGATAAATTTAGCTATAACTTTTATAAATATGTTACGGCTGCACAAAAAAGTCTTTATTGAGAAATATCTACACAAAGCTCCATTTAACAGGCTTTAAAATGCACACTGAAACTGCTCATTTGTCTCAACCTCACATTGGTCAATGTAAGTTGACAGCCTTACTTCTCTTTTATTGCAACAGAAATTAATAACTACTTTCTGAAAACTTTTGCTTTTCCGTTTCATATACTTTCTCCCACGTTCAACATGTTCACACCCTACGTGTTATACAAAGCCTGCTCAAATGTCACCTCCTCCATGAGAAGCTGAACACAAACTGCCCCAACACAGCTCCAAAACACTTAATCTGTACTTCTCCATTGCATGCTAGTATCATTATTATACTGAATCAAGAATCATTGCATACTAGTATCATTTATAATATAGTCATTTCTATACAGGGCCACTGCACACAGATGTTTGCTTTGAAATCCAGCCTTGTGCTCACAGCACAGAGAGGGTACTTTTTCCCAGTCAGCCTTCAATTAGCAGATACCTTTATTTTCTAATGTCCACAAAGCTGCTTGTAAGTTAAAAGCAATCTTACATATGCACACAATTCTTCTAGACCACAAAACCCGAGAGCAGGAACTTTCATTCATACAATCTATATGCCTAATGGAAGCTTTAAAAGGTATATGTTGAACATCCATTTATTCTAGGTCAATTTGAGAAAGGGAGTTTATTAATCTATTATGAAAGCTCTAAGCATTTCCCTTTACAAGTGCAGAGAAAGGGTAAAGTAATATATTTTATAGGAAAAAAGTTGAATGAAAACGTTAAGTTCTGTCTGGTATCACTTACCAAATTGGACTCATTAGGTGGAATGTACTTCTCTGTACCCATTCGCACAAGTCCATCATGATAGAGAAATATTTTTAGTGGATCACACGATGTAACCAGAATATAAATTCGTAAGTCAAACTTGTAACCTTCCATTAGGAAAGGCTTTTCAATGTATTCTTGAACAATCAAATGATCCTGAGATGGAAGTTTGTCACCATTTCTTATCAAAGAAATCCTATGTTTAAAGAAAAAAATTAAAAGAATGATTTGACATAGAGCAAGATGTTTAAAAAGTTACAGATATACTCAAGTGGAAAACAGTGGAGTAAGGGACTCCAAAAGTCTGCCCCTCCACAAAAGCAATGAAGAGCAAAAGAAATCATAGGAATCAACTTTGTAACCCCACAAACTAAGCAAAGGCTTGCAGCAAATGGAATACTTAACTAAGAAAAAAACAGCTGGATCTGTGCCAAAGAGCTTTGTAACGCTTTAACTTAATCTAGTCCCATCATCCACTCACAGCTCAGCGGCAGCCTTGAACAGCCTCATTTTCAATACCAGTACTGGTCCTGGACTGGGTAGAATGGGCTATTCTTATGGTTGGTTGTTTTGACCTGTCTGGTGGCTTCCTGGAGGACCTCAAAGGGCTTGCTTTCATCTTGCCTAACTTGGAACTTTACCAGTACTGAGGCAACTACTTTCAGAGACAATTGTTGGAAACATTTACTGTCTAGGTTGTTGAGGGCAACAGGTGGGCAGACAATAGACCAATTAAAAAGACTGGGAGGAAGGGCTGAGCAATGAGAATCTTTGAAACTTTGAAAAGCTCTGACATATTCCCGGGAATCTAGATGACCAGTTACATGCCCAAGGTTAGCAGCATGCTCAAGAAAGACCCGAGAAGGCCCTAAGCTGTCCCTTCTGGCTAACCATCAGACTCTGTACAAGCAGGAAATTAAGGCTAAGGCAGAGTTGTAAATTATTTGTTTGCATGCTGAAGGCATGTCCCAGCAATCACACACACAGTCATCTATTGAGAGCTTTTTTGTTGTTTGTTTTGCTCTGTTTAAGGAAATCTCTGTCCAATTATTAGCTGACCACTGAGCTAACAGAACAGGAACTTCAGTGGCCATACACAGCAAAGAACACAGACTACAACTACTACAATGAGCTGCAACAACAAATTACATAGAGGGGGAGAGTCTGATTTCTAGAATTGCTATAGTATAATACTCAAAATGTTCAGTTTTCAACAAAATATTATGAGGCATGCAAAGGAAAAAGAAAGTATGGCCCATATACAGGGAAACTATCAATTAATAGAAACTGTCACGAGGAAGCCCAGACATTGGGCTTACTGGATAATCAACTATTTAAAATTTATTCAAAGAGCTAACAGAAACCATGTACGAAGAACTGAAATAAACTATGAGAACAGTGTCTCATTAAATAGGGAATATTAGTAGTGATAAAAAATTAAGGAAAAATAAAGGAACCAAACAGAAATTTTAGAGTTGAGAAGTACAATAACTGAGATAAAGAAATTCACTAAAGGAGATAAACAGTATACTTGACAAGGCATAAAGAGAATCAGAAAACTTGAGGATAAGCCAACTGACATTATCTAGTCTGAGGAACAGAAAGAAAAAAGAAGAAAAATGAAGAGAGCCTACAAAATCTGTGAAATACCATCAAGCACAGCAACACACACATAATAGGAGTCTCAGAAGGAGAGAAGACAAAGAAAAAAATTCAAAGAATATTTGAAGAAATACTGGCAAAAAACTTCCCAATTTGATAAAAACATTAATCTACACATCCAAAAAGCTCAATTACCTCCAAGTAGGATAAACTCAAAGAGATCCATATCAAGATATACTATAATCAAATTGTCAAAGAACACCAGAAAGGTGACTACTCAGGTAAATATAAAAGTTCTGGCTGGGCACGGTGGCTCACACCTGTAATCCCAGCACTTTGGGAGGCTGACGCACGTAGATCACCTGAGGTCAGGAGTTCGAGACCAGTCTGGTCAACATGGAGAAACCCCATCTCTACTAAAAATACAAAAATTTGCCAGCCATGGTGGCATACGTTTGTAATCCCAGCTGCTCAAGAGGCTGGGGAAGGAGAATCACTTGAACCTGGGAGGCAGAGGTTGCAGTGAGCCAAGATCACACCACTGCACTCCAGCCTGGGTGACTGAGTGACAGAGTGAGACTCCATATCAAAAAACAAAAAAGTCTCTCTTATTGTAGTTTTGGTTTTTAACTCCTCATTTTTCCTAATGAATTAAAAGACAACTGCTTAAAACAATAGTTATAAATCTATGCCAATGGACACAGAAGGTGCAGAGATATAATTTGTAACAATAACAACATAAAGGGAGTAAATCTATACAGGAACAAAGTTTTTATACACTACTGAAACTAAGTTGGTATTAATATAGACTGGATTGTTATAAATTAAGATGATAATGGTAATTCCAGGGTAATCATTTTTTAAAACTCAACAATACATAGTAAAAGAAATGACAAGGGAATTAAAATGGTACAGAAGAAAATATCTATTTAACACAAAACAGGACAATACAGAGAAATTGAGGAACAAAAACTACAAGATACATAAATCAAGTAGCAAAATGGCCTAAGTAAATATTTCTTTTTCAGTAATTACATTAAATGTAAATAGATTAACTCTCCAATAAAAGGCAGAGCTTGGCAGAATGAATTTTTAAAAAACATGGTCCACCAATATGCTGTCTACAAGAGACACCCTTTAAAGTCAAAGACTCAAATAGATTGAAAGTGAAAGGATGGAAAAGATATTGCAATAAAACAGTAACCTGGAGTGGCAAAATTGTTATAAGAGACAAAGAATCACATTATATACTGATTTTTTAAAAGTCAATTCCTCAAGAATATGTAACAATTAGAAACATTTATGTGCCTAATAACAGAGCTCCAAAATACATGAAGCAAACACTGGTAGAATTGAAGGGAGAAATACTTCACCAATATCAGCTGGATTCTTCAATACTCTACTTTCAATAATGGACAAAATAACTAGACAGAAGATTAGCAAGGAAACAGATACAATTCAATAGATGAGAGGGGTGTTCTTTACCTAGGTACTACTGCATTACATGAGATAAACCCTGGGAACACATAATGCCCTTTCAGTTATCTGCTTTTCCAGTTATTTGTTTATATTGCCATCAAAATAAATTAAAAGATTATTATTTATGTTTTAATATCAAATATAAGTATATAAATATAGATATTTTAATATTAAATTTTTAACATTAAAATTGAGAAAAATGTGAAAAATCAATTCCTTACCACCAGAAACATTCCTTTAATGCTAACACAGAGACAGCCAACTCAGCATTAAGCAATTGGTATAAAATTCCCATTAATACTATTAGTTAAAAATTACCAAAGCACATTTGCAAGTAATTTATGATTGGATTATTAAGTTATGATTAAAAGTTAAAAGAAAAATTTTGAACAATAATTTACCTGGTAGCTATATTTCCAAATATCTTTTTTCCTACAGCATAAAATGACTCAAGTGTATTTTTTTTTTTTTTTTTTGACAGAATCTCGCACTGTCGCCCAGGCTGGAGTGCAGTAACCTGGAGCGCGATCTTGGCTCACTGCAAGCTCTCCCTCCCAGGTTCACACCATTCTCCTGCCTCGGACTCCTGAGTAGCTAGGACTACAGGCGCCCGCCACCACACCTGGCTAATTTTTTGTATTTTTAGTAGAGACGGGATTTCACCATGTTAGCCAGGATGATCTCAGTCTCCTGACCTCGTGATCCGCCTGCCTCGGCCTCCCAAAGTACTGGGATTACAGTCGTAAACTACCGTGCCCGGCCAAGTGTATTTTATTAAAAGCAGCCTCAGCCACATTTTCTTCGAAAAAGTACATTGCAGAAAACTAACATAAGCAAAAGGAAACAAGAATATTACTTGCACATTCTATTCTCAGTTAACATGTCTAGTTCTTGGAACTTCAGTTTAGAATGTGTTCCACTCATTTTTAATCCAATTACCATGGCTACATAAAGAAAAAATTTATTTAAAGGCAAAGAAGATACATATTTTCCTTCAAGATTTCTAGCTATGAAAAGAATAACTCCCTTTTCATTTCTTTCTCCAAGTCAGTTGTAGCCCTACTGTAGCAACTGATTTTACTCTCCAAGTCTATTGAAATTATTATAAATGTGAGTTTTATGTTTTAGAAAAAAACACAAAATAGCTTTTTCCCCTTATATTTTGTTATCTCCTATTAAAGCCTCACAACCTGTTGATTAAATTTTTTAACTGAATTACAGAAGCCTGTGGGAGAGTTTAAAAGAACACAGATCATTAAATATTTGGTTCCAAAAACGCAATAGTTAGAAACTTATTTCATTATTTTTTCATGTTGGTACTCAACCATGAGTAATTATGCACATTTATTCTCCCTACTCCCAAATTTTTTTTATTTTTATATATTCCAAATAAAAGCAAACCTACCCATGACCCATTGCACCATTAGCTGGTTTCACTATAAAAGTTTTCTGCTTCCGTTTTTTCTTCAATTCTTTCACATAATTTTGGAATTGAGTATATTCAGCAGGGAAGATCCATGTTCGAGGAACGAAGGTATAATCCAGAGGCCGAGACTTGATCATTCTGTAAATCAGAGATAATAGGAAAAATAATTTCTATTCAAACTTGTATATATTTTCTTTCTCTGGGCTACTGATATTTGCCACAAAGATTTAAATTTTCTCCATTCCTTCACTTACTTATTCATTGATTCATTCATTCAACAAATGTCTATTGAGCACCTATTAAGTGTTAGACACTATTCTGGACCATGGATACATCAGTGGAAAAAAAAAAAAAAACTTGCCCTAATATGTACTAATTTACATATTAGTATATCAAACTTTTTTTTAGAGTACACACTATTTGCTAGGTACTGGGGATAGTAAGATAAATGAGTATCATCTCTGCTCCCAAGGAATATATAGATAGGCTATTAATATTAAACAGTGTGATAGGTACACTAAAGGCATATAAGGCAAGGTAACATGTAGGAGTCAGTAACTGTGCCTCAGGGATGGGAGTAGGGAGTAGGGAATTGTTCAGACAAATACTACTTATATTGCTTCTTTACAAATAATTTTGAGTCTCTGGGTCACCATAGGGAACAGTTTTTGATTACCTTTTATACTACCATTTTTTAGAGTCAGAAAGTTTACTAAATCTCTGTGAATAATCTTCTTTTAAAAAAAAATTCTCAGTTTATCACTCAACTTTCTTAAACTTTAAAAAAAGGCAAAAAACCTAGCCAACAGGAATATAAACTGCATAAAAATTTTTCAGTTTATTAAGTAAAAGACTGGGGTACTTATTATCAGCTTTTCCATGAAAGTAGATTGCTCCTCTAAATATTGGTTGCAGAGATAAATATCTGTGCATGTATATCCCTGGGTGAGCATATATACATGTGTCTTTGAGTAAGTGTGTGCATACATGTACCTAGTACAATCCCTGGCACATAGTAAATGCTCAATCACCAATATGAAAACACACAGAAACACACACACACACACACACACACACACACACGGCATATAAGGCAACGAATTAGTTCCTGCAAAATTTAACTGAAAATAAACAAGTATCTCTTAGATGACATATACAGATAACTCTTACATTTAAACGAAAAACTCTGTTACTAAAGAGGCAGCAAGTTGCAGTAAAGAGGCCTGAGATTCTGGAGACTGATTCTTACCCACCTCTGCTATTAACAATTTGCTTGAGTTTGTGCAAAATATTCATTTATCTGACCCTCATTTACCTCCTCTGCAAAGTGGAAGACTAGAACCAGAGACATTCTAAGACCTTTCTAGCTCTAAAATTCTATCACTCTCATCTAAATATCATTTCAAATCAATGTAACCTTGTGAAAGATACCACTACAGTATTCATATTATAAATTTTGAACAGGTCTTCTCCATTACAAGAAAATAAAGATTACTTGGTCATATTTCTTGCTAAGAAATCCTTTCTACAGATCTCCCCCATTCCTGGAAAATGGTTGATCCTCTGGAAAATAAAAAGGTAAATATTAATATTATCAGCAAATTAATTATATTCACGTATATGACAATGCAATATCCATCCTTTGAGTTTTGTTTTAATAAACTGCCAATTATTAATCTAAAAGATTTAATGACCTATAGTGAATTTGTAGAATTAAAGAGTATGGTAATCAGAGAATAAAACTACAAAATTTTAAAGAAATCACAAAAGAATATTTACATAGATAGTAAAGTTATAATTTTCTAGGTTGAATAGTGATAATATCCAAATTACTTTTGTTATTCTAGATGCACTATATTCACAGACATCAGCACTGGTAAAAATGACTTATTTGCTCACTACAGTCAATTTTATATTACATTCTAAACTAATAAATGAAGAAGGTCTATACAAACTGTCAATTCTCTAGAATTCCTTATATTCAGCTTTTTAGTTTGAGGTCTATTTTCTTCTGAATATAAGTTTGTATTATGTTCTCAAAATAAAAGAATGAAACCAGATTACATATAGCTGACCTCACAAGGTATTTCTGCATCCTGGTCTCCCTATGCAATCTATTCTACAACTTTAAGTGCAATGTAAAGTACCATCTTAGGAAAAGGGTATTTTTTTGGTTGTTATTGCTTGTTTTTTGAGATGGAGTCTTGCTCTGTTCACCAGGCTGTAGTGCAGTGGCCCGATCTCAGCTCACTGCAGCCTCCACCTCCTGGGTTTGAGCGATTCTCCCACTTCAGCCTCCCGAGTAGCTGGGACTACAGGTGGCGCCACCACGCCCAGCTAATTTTTCTATTTTTAGTAGAGACGGGGTTTCACTATGTTGGCCAGGAAGGTCTCGATCTCCTGACCTCGTGATCCACCCGCCTTGGCCTCCCAAAGTGCTGGGATTACAGGCGTCAGCCACCGCGCCTGGCCAGAAGAGGTTTTCTCTATTGATTCTTCCCTAAAGATAGAAAGAGGTTAAAACTTAAGTCTGCAAAAGATGCAGGCTTCATGCAAAGTGTCAATACAACTGGATAGAAACAAAACAGGCTATTCAGGTGAGTTAGAATTGAAATTTAATAAGGTAACAGATTAAGAACCTATCTAAAAAAATTATGGTGGAATCCATATAACTTTCCTCATACGACTAACTGGTCATGATTAATTTCCTACCTGATAATTTTGCAGCTCTGATATTTTCTCCTGCTGAACAGCAGAATCACACCATATAAGATTACTTGTTTCATCCTCATCTGGAGTTTTCATAAATCCCATTTCATCTATTACTAAACGAACTGCAAGTAAACAGTTAAGTTAAACCAAAATTAAAATACTTCCGAAATATATTCATTGCAGAAACATTTTTCTATATAAATTTTAGTTCACAGTATTTCATTTGAAAAATATTAGTTACAGCATAACCTTATTTTTAGTTACAACAGTTTTATCTAGGGCCAAATTATACTCAGTAGTAACTGAGAAATGTTTTTCGGTTGCACCCAAAATCCTTCCTTTCGATCTTCTCAGGTTTAACAGGTACACAAAACTGCCAAAGGGTTTAGTGATTATTTATGGCACAAGGAAAACACACACAGCTGAGACAATACCTCTACTCAGGAAAATGTACTTTTTATAGCTTTTTTTACAACCTTAGGTTAAGTACAAAAGAGCAAAGGTAAAAATATCCCCTGATTATCAAACCTATGCCATACTTTCCACCTCCCTAGTTCAAATTATTTTTAGAGCTTAAAATCAACTCATCTGTGTTTACTTAGGACATGAAATAATAAAGCAATATTCACAGGAGAGATTTGGATTTGGTTCTCCACTGCTCCCAACCCTCTAATCCTACTGAAAACGTTTATGCTCAGAGGAACATTTCCTTTTTAGTACAAACCATTCATGTGTTCCTCTCCGATCTAGATTTTACAATTAACATATTGGCATTTTTCTTCCATTGAATTTCAAGTGTGGAATAAAGATAAGTAGAAGACTTCAGGTAATTTGTGGTTTCCAACAGAATCCTGAGTCTTAACAGAATGGTGTAGTCCCAGGTGACAGTGTACAATCACAAGAGTTGGGGAAAGGAACATTCCTCTCTGTCACAGACCACCATGCAGCTTTGGCATCCTGAGGACTCAGCAGCTGCTGTGCCACCTACAGTTCATGTACAGAGCAAGGGCAATAGCAACACAGACTAGGAGACTTCCTTACCTGGCTCACAAGCAAAAACAATAACAAATTCAGAAGAGCATGTCAGGAGCACACCTGTTCCTGAGTATATGAGAGACACTGCCTGCACCGTCTCAAAGATACCTGGGAAGACCTTGGTGAGATAAACGGAACTCCTGGCAGTTAGGTTTAGAAGGAACGTAGGCTGGGCGCAGTGGCTCATGCCTGTAATCCTAGGACTTTGGGAGGCCCAGGTGGGCAGATCACAAGGTCAGGAGATCGAGACCATCCTGGCTAACATGGTGAAACCCCGTCTCCACTAAAAATATAAAAAAATTAGCCAAGCGTGGTGGCGGGCGCCTGTAGTCCCAGCTACTGGGGAGGCTGAGGCAGGAGAATGGCATAAACCCGGGAGACTGAGCTTGCAGTGAGGCGAGATCGCGCCACTGCACTCCAGCCTGGGCTACAGAGACTCCGTCTCAAAAAAAAAAAGAAGAAAGAATGCAATGTGTTACTTAAATTTGGGTATTTACATATACACAAACCCATGAGGCTGGGAACATTCAGGTTACATACGAATATTGGAAAGATCCATTTTTTCTTTACATTCATAAATTCAAATTTGTCAGTCAGTCATATATAAACCTATTTTATTATGAAATTCAAAGCTTGGAGAGCTGACAAAATTAAACTTCAAAGAAAAATACAATGCCAAGTCCCTTTTTTCAGCTAAGCTGTCTAATCATACTAGTGTTTGAACTGAAATTTTAGAAATCAATTGGGATCTTTTTAAGGATATCATCCTCTACCGCACAGAAAAAGAATCCTTCTAACATGTTAGAAATTTTATAGAAGGCGTTTAAAAATCCATTATATAAAAGATAGTTATCTCTCTGGATTTCTACATTGTTTTTAACACCATATCAGTTTTTCCAGCAATTATGAGAATCCCATGATTGATTTTAAGCAAACCTACCAATTTCAAACTTTGTCCCGGCAACATTTGCTGTAATGGTTCCCTTCTTTTTCTTCTTTCTGACTTTCCTTTTCATTGTGCTTTGATAAGGTAATTCTGTATTCAAATCCAGGGGACAGGGTCCCTGAATAACTTTAAAAAAATGTAAAATAATCACATAACACTGAAATAACAAAAATCTATACCAGACAACACAAATACCACCCCCGCCCCACATCAAGCAAAAATGATAAATTCTGGTACTTTAAAAAGTTCCCAATTAATTTTTAATACTTTAAAAAAAATAACAGTAGTGATGTAAAACACCTCCATACTTCATAACATAGTTAAGTCAATTTCCCTACCTCCTTCTTGAGGCAGAGATGGCATTATTGCCTGTGCTGATTAGCAAGCAGTGCGTGCTGCTGTACCAAGCTCTCAGGAAATCTGGAAATTCCACATTAGTCTAAGTAGGATATGGCCCCAAATCACTGAAAGTTCTTATCATATTATCTTGGTAGAATCCTCAGATTTCAGGATACCAAAGTTATGGGATAACAAGGTACCTGGAGTGATTTTAAAACAAGGTCATTTAGAAAACAACTTTTTTGAAATTTTTTTCATATATGCCAAGACTATTCTTTTTAAAAGTCAAGTAAGGTGAAAGTTAATGTGTTCAATCAACAAATAATTGTGAATCAGTTTATTAAATCTTATGCAAAATGCCAAGTGATGGTTTCCTATCCTCAAAGAATGCATAGTCTAGGGGAAGTTTTATTAAGTCACGTGTCACATGTATATTCAATAAATAATATACTACACACAAACAATAACAGCAATAACAATATTCACTACTATTTATTGAACACTTACTATCTTAGGCATTTATATTATACCATTTAATCTTTCAAAAAACCTGTAAGGTAGAAGCTTTTAAGTTGAGCTTTGAAAGGACAAATTATTTTGTGTATCTTTACAAAGAAAATTTCAACACAGAGATTAAAATGAAGATCCTTCTAATGTCAATGTCAGAGTTTCTTATTTAGAAACCCAAACAACCTTCAACCCAATGCCTGAAGCACTGCTTTTAATATGAGACAGTGAAAAGTGCCAGGCAGGGTAGAGGTCACATGTTGACAGAATGCAGAGAAGTGATTCCTTTACAAGGGAGTATGGGGGATAACTTAATAAAGTAAACCACATCTTGAATTGTGCCTTAAAAAATGAGAACAGTTTTGAAGGACAGAAAATGGGCGGGGTCATTATTGTGATGATTTTATTCAGGCACACAGAGGAATGCAATAATGAATGAACTAATTTGATCTGGCTACATCTCAACATGGCCGACAGTACACTTTGCTTGTATTTTCATTGTAAACATATGAATGTAGGCATTTATGCCCTAACAACACTATATTGCTTAGTCTGTACTATCAACTTTCCAATTTCTCCTTCCTATTGTAAGAATCCTTCAGTTCTTGTAAAATATCTATAAACACAATGAAAAATGACAAAACTAATTATGATAAGCAAAGGTATAATATCAACACCTTTATTAGATGTTCAGGTTTATCAGAAATTCAGAAACATCCAACATTCAGCTACATAAAATGTGACTCTTATATCACCCCAAATATTCATTATTATTAATGTTTCCATATTAAAGAAAATTTAGGGTTTTATTTGTTCTCAGGTATCATTTTTACTAAAATGATTCTCTAGTATAATTCAATATCAAAACTGGGGAACTTTTATATATTACAGACCAACTGTAGGTAGACACTCTATTAAGCCTTTTAAATATTTTATCTCATTAACAAACTTTAGGTATCATTTCTCCCTATTTTCCAGATATAGAAACTAAGGCTAGATAAGTTAAATAAATCAAGGTAACACAGCTTAGAAATAGAAAATTTAGACTATAAATCCAATTCTAATTATTCTATTCAGTAAGCTCCCCTATTTTCAGACCCCATGCTAACATAATATATAGACATATGAGAAGTTTGCAACCCTACTGCAGTACATGCCACAAGATACGGCTATATTCTGGGAATCTGCAATACTTCAAACAGTGAATTCACAGTAAAACATCTCTAAACTGATATCAGCTCCCAATATCAAGCTGGAAACAGACTAGATCACTTCTCAGAATAAAAGAAAGGAGTAGTGTAGCTTAGTTCCGTTTCTTTCTGGAGGCTCTTTGAAACCTCAGGGAAGTAACTATTTGAGTTTACAAGTTTTTTGTCCAACATCTTGTTACTGGAGTAAACAAAGATCCCCTTTACAGTAACAGAATACTTATTACATTGAAAGTAGGTGACAAAGTCAACAAGACTTTGAAAACAATGTTTGCCTAACTATACTAGATTCTAAAAACAAATTTGTTAATTTTTGACTTAAATAATAAGCCCAATGACTGACTTGTACAGAGTTCAAAACAAGAACTTTTATCCCTTCCCCAAGGCATACAGGAATCTAAAGTTCTTAAAATTATACTATCCATGTATGTGCTTTACTTAATTCCATTTACGCTTTAGTCAAAGTGCTTTAACAAACTCAAGGACTTCATTCAACCATGGCAATTCTACTCAGCTTTATTCTAAGCAAGACACGTGAGATGACAGATTTATCCAACCACTCAGTTGAAACCATAGTTACCTACTTTCCAAAAGCAGAAAACATGTTTCAGTTACTTCTGAAATGCTTTAAGCCAATGGCTTCTCAACCTTGGCTGCAAAGCAGAATTGCCTGAGTGAGGAGCTTTGGAAAATCCTGCTGCGCAGGCCACACCCCAGAACCCAGTGGGGCCCACCCATCAGCATTTTTAAAGCTCTTCACGTGATTCCAGTGCAGCCAAGGCTGAGAACCTCTACTGCAAGCACGCGATGACAATGAAACAAATAATAGCTAATTATAACAACACAAGAAATTATAAGGAAAAAAGTAAAAGAAAACTCATAACTTTTTTTAAAAGACCAAATAGGTAAAAATTACCTAGAAAAATCCTGTTTTCCTATCTAGTTCAAAAAAACAAACTGAGAAAAAAAATTCAAAGGCGAGCACAAAATGATTTTTAATTTAAAGAAACAATTTATTTACAAAAGGAATCAATTTTCCAAAATTTCAAGCAAATGTTAACACTGAACATAGAACTGCCAAGCACCAACAGATAGACAAAAGTGAAACAAAACCAAAATAACTCCAGTACATTTGTGCTAGAGTATCATTTCTTCCCTATTCTTCCGTTAAGCTTCTACCACACTTAAACTCCACATAAAATACCACTTTTTCCTGAAAGCTTTCTCTGATTATATCTGAAGAAACTCATTTCTCCCTCCTCTGGGCTATTAGAGACCTTATTTTTACCCCTATCACAATCACCTGCCAAAAAGATGGTTTTCTTCCATCTTGTTCACTCCTCCGTTCCCATGTCCTAGAATAGTGACTCATAGTGTTCAATAAGCACTTGCTAATGCATGCTATGGTTTGAATATTTGTGTCCCCCAAAATTCACGTTGAAACATAGTCCCCAATGAAACAGTGTGATGAAGTAGGACCTTTAGAAGGTGATTGGGTCCTGAGGGCTACTTCCTCATGAATGGGATGGACTTTATAATCAAGGCTTCACACAGCATTAAACCTTTCCATCCCTTCTACCATGAGAACACAACATCCATCTCCTTCAGAAGGTGCAGCAACAAAGTACCATCTTGGAAGCAGAAACAGCAGCCCACACTGTCAATGAACCTGCCACCACCTTGATCTGGACTTTCCAGCATTCAGAAATTTGAGAAATAAATTTCTATTGTTTATAAGTTATCCAATTTGTGGCGTTTTGTCATAGCAGCACACACGGGCTAAGACAGTGAGTTAATAAATTAGTTAATTAGCCAGGCACCATGGCTCATGCCTATAAATAATCCCAATACTTCGGGAGGCCGAGGCAGGAGGATCACTTGAGACCAGGAGTTTGAGACCAGCCTGAGCAACATCTCTACAAAAATGTAAAAATCAGTCAGGCATGGTGGTGCCTGCCTGTAGTCCCAGATACCTGGGTGGCTAAGAAGGAACGATAGCTTGAGCTAGGGAGATCAAGGCTGCTGCAGGGAGTTGTGTTCTTGCCACTGCACTTACAGCCTGGGCAGCAGAGCAAGACTCTGTCTTAAAAAAAAATCAATCAATCAATTCATGAGAGCTGAGAGAAAAAAGAAATAGTCATGGAGCTCTGAGAAGCAAATACATATAATTTACAATATATTACTTTTCACTTTTAAAAAATGTTATTTATGTATTTTGTTTTATTCATTTATAGTTTTTTAGAGACAATCATAGCTCACTGTAATCTTGAACTCTTGGGCTCCACAATCCTCCTGCTTCAACCTCCCAAGTAGCTGGGACTACAGGTGTACACCACCACAACTGGCTTTTATTATTATTATTATTATTATATTATTATTTTAGAGATGGGGTCTCACTATGTTGACCAGGCTGGTCTCAAACTCCTAGCCTCACGTTATTCTTTCACCTCAGCCTCCCAAAGTGCTGAGATTACAGGCATGAGCCACCGCGTCTAGTTCACTTTTTTTTTTTTTTTTTTTGACACGAAGTTTCACTTTTATTGCCCAGGCTGGAGTGTAATGGCGCAGTCTCGGCTCACTGCAACCTCCGCCTCCCAGGTTCAAGTGATTTTCCTGCCTCAGCCTCCCAAGTAGCTGGGATTACAGGCATGCACCACCACGTCTGGCTAATTGTTTTGTATTTTTAGTAGAGACGGGGTTTCTCCATGTTGATCAGGCTGGTCTCGAACTCCTGACCTCAGGTGATCCACCCGCCTCGGCCTCCCAAAGTGCTGAGATTACAGGCATGAGCCACTGTGCCCGGCCCTAACCCACATTTATAAGCGGAAAAAGCAAAGTATGTAAAAGTTGACATATTACACTGCCACTTGAGCAAACCAACAGAGGAATATATGGAACATATCCACTGAGCAGTTGTGGCCTGCTATGGCTAGGGGTGGGGCTAAGGGAGACTTACTTGTATATACACCTTTAGTACTCCGTGTATGTATTACCTGTTCAAAAAAGTAAAATATATGTGATAAAATTCTATATCAACATTATCATGTTGATAACCAAAATCATCAAACTGTGTTTCCCATTTAGGTGAAAATACTTCTATTTCATTTAAATGAAAGTATAATATGGTAGAAAGAGCACTGAACAAGGAGTCAAATCAAAGTCCTATCCTTTAATTTGCCACTTAGCAGATACAAATTCTTAGGCTGCAAAAGTAAAAGATTTATTCTTTCCACCCCTAAAGTCTAAAATGGCAACCAATGAAGATAACATTGCTGATACATTTTATGGCAAAAGATGAAGACAAAACTTCCTTTATGTAAAAGAAGGAAACACAAAAGAAACTCAGACCTTCTCCAGCAACCCCACAATCCATACCCCAGTAAATATAATATATGAGCTCTTTGTACATTAATTTTTAGCTCACCCAAAGATGACTAAAACAATCAAACAAAAAGTCAAGAGGATCCAAAATTAGGGTTAAGTTT